CCTCCTCCTCCTCCTCCTCCCCCCTACTTCCTCCTCCCCCTCCTCCTCCTCCTCCGCCTCCTCCTCCCCCTCAGGTCCCCAGCCGTCCGCGCGGCGGGTGCGTCGGCGAGCGGCCTCGCGGGCCCCCGGCGCGGCGCCACCTGGGCGGGGCGCACCCCGCCCCCCTCCACCACGAGTGGCGAACACCCGCGGCCTGGACACTGGTGCGCGATTCCGTCCCTGCGCGCTCGAAGGGAGGCGCCCCGCGCGGGGCATCCGCGACAAGAGGCACCGCACCCGCGGGGGCGCGGCCTCGCGGGGCCTGGCCCGCGAGGCCGCGGCCACGGACAGGTTGGTCGTCCACGCCTCCAGCTTGGCAGGCGACTAGCGGCGGTGGGCGGGACTGGGAGGAGGAGGCAGTGGCGCCCGGAAGAAGCAGAGGACCCCGAGATCTCCCGGCGCTGCACTCTTTCGTTCCGCGCGGGGAATCTATTCGCCGAGATTCGGGCCCCGAGACCCTCACGGATCGAGCGGGCCCGAGAGAGACGCCGGAGCAAGGCGGGGTCGAGGGCCCTGGCCGTGATCCGGCGAGAGGCTGTCTTTTGTTGGGTCTCGCGGCGTCGGATCTCAGGGGGAGGGCGGCATGACTCTCCCGCCACGCGCCTCCCTTGTGAGCAGACCAGTCCCTCACCGCCTCGCCCATGACAAATTGCGCCAGGAGAGATGGGACAGTCTCCCGAAGGCCGAGCTCGCCGAGAGCTCGAAGACGGTCCTTCGTCGAGCCGACCCATGGGTCCGTGAATTCGGCAATTCGCGCCCCGCTACCAGCTCAGCCACGAGCCTCCATGGGCAACGCGAGCATGGGACCTGGTCCGATGCCAGCGCCCTACGTCGCGATACAGCGCGGCTAATCGTGGTCGCGTCTTTGTAGTCGAGCGCTCTCTTCCGAAGACAGGGAGGAGGAAAAGGACAAATGTAGTTTGTCAAAGAGAGTGTGCTTGTCTGCGCACATGCTCTCTGGCCCTGGAGACCCCGCAGGGAGACGCAGGCAGCCAGTGTCCGAACCTGCGAACCGGCGTGGGACGGGACAGAATGCTCCAGGGAGAGAAACGCCTGGCGCGAGCAAAAGTTCAAGGCGAATGGGCGTGGAGCCAGGCAGTGGCGAAAGCGGGCCCTTGCTTGAGCCTGCCCCTCAAGGCGTGTCTTTGGTAGCCCCGCTGCCTGCACAGATGTGCCTCACAGGCTGTCGCTTGAATCGCAGTGTACCGCAATGGTTGTTCCATTTACCAGAATAGTTCTGGCGTGGCGTAGCGGGACACTTGACATGGGGGCACCACTGCGGTTCGCATCTTACCTTGAAAGCTCGAACTCATAGCCTCTCTTGCGGAATTTCCCATCAGGTCAAACTCATCGAGAGAACTCCACTCACGCGAAGCCGTGTCATGTCTCACACGTGAACGACGAGAAGAAACGGGCCTTACGCGAGATGGCACAGCGACCTTCTGCCGCAATATACGCCGGCCGCCAGCGCGGCACGCTACACTGGAAGAGAGGGCGCTTACGCGCGACCTCAGGCGGGCCGCTTACGCGCCAATGTCGGCGCAGACGACCCCGCTTCCTGCAGTCGCACACACGTTGGCTGCTCAGGGGCAGGCAGACGTCGTCGCGTTTTTTTTTATGTTTGGTTCTTGTCTTCTGGCCGCGGGAGGGGGCGGGGGTAGCTTGACAGGGCGCGGGGCCTGGTGAGGGCTCAACGAAGAGGGGGGAGGGAAGCGGGGGGGCGATTTGGCCCGGCCACGGAAGGAGGAGGAGGAGGAATCGATATCGGATCAGCTGCGCAGCAAGATCAAATACTACATCCCTTCTCTCTCCCCGAGCACCGAAACGGGCCAGGAGCCGAAGAAAACAAAACATATGCAGGACATTCAATGATGACGCCATTGCCGCCGCAGCTCATCGTGCCACATGGCGAAGTCGATGGCCAGGAGCCTCATAGCAGAGGCCACAAAGCGAGAGATGCCAAGCAACACCCTCTGCTGTATCAGTGTTCCTTGCACAAACGTCCAGCCGACAGAGCCATACACATATGAATCAACCTTGCTTGCGCTTGTTCATGGTGGGCGCGGGCGCAGGCGGAGCAGACGGCGGGCCCGTTGCTGCAGCCATCTCGGCCGCGGCCACCGCAAAGCCCTGGAACATGGCCCCCACGTCCAACGGCGCAGCGGGTGGCGGTGTCAAAGGGGGGCCGAGCAGAGAACGATAGAGGCCGATCAGCACCGCGGATGGCACCGACATCACCCATGACGCCCCCGCTCGGCACTGGCGTACCAGCCTGCTGCCGCGCGCGGCTCCTGCGCCCCCGTGGCCTCGCCGACCGGCCCCGCAGCAGCTCGCTCCTCAAGAAGAGCTCGCGGATGGGCGAAAGGCTGCGGCCTCCAACAGCTCCTCCGGTCGCTCCAGGATGTACTGCGCGTCAAACTCGGCTTCGGGCTCCGCGCCGACGACGTCGCTCCGCAGGCACCTGTGCTCGGCCGCCGCGGCCGCGGGTCGCATGCCACCCTCAGAGCCTTCAGCTCTGGAGGGGGGCACCACATCAGCTGGAAACTGCACCCTCGGCGCGTCGGGTTCGGCGTCGGACACTACGTCGGGCTCGGAAACCTCCACAACAGCGCCAGCGGACGAGACCACGAACGGCTCCTCCACGCTAGTGAAAGCTGTGGCACCGCATGCACAGCGTACTCCGCACGCGACGCCGTGCTCTGGCAGCACAACTTCCCCGCGACCCGCACCTGTGACGAAGTCGGCCGCCTCCGCGCGCATCCGCACGGGAGCGCCCAGGCTAAAGCTCGGTTCCACGACTTCGCCCCACGGCACGTGACGGGCCCTGTCGCCCGCCGCCTTGACGTCCATGCCCTCCAGCCGCTCCGCGTTGGGCACGTTCGCGAGGCTCGCGAGCTCCCTCGAGGCATCCCCAGGCCTGTGCCTGTGGTGCCCCAAACGCTCATCGAGGCGGCGGTGCAAGAGCAGCGCCCTCCCCAAGGCCTCCAGACGCGCACGCATGTTCAGGAGGCCGCTGTCGAGGTCGAGATTGTGGTTGTGGACTGCCGCGCGGACCGCACTGGACACCAGGTGAGCGTCCTCTTGCTGAGCTCGCTCGCGTCGCAGCCGCCGAGCCAAATTGCTAGCAGATTTCCTCGCCCAGGCCTTTCCTGGATTCTGATTCACCGACTCACGCACGGGCCAACGGCCCCGCAGTTCTCCCGTAGCCGTCATCCTCAAGAGGGCACAAACAACACAACGAAAGCCTCCTGTTGCACCAGATGTGAATATCACCTTGCCTGATCGAGCAATGGGGCTGCCGCACGCTGTTGTGCGACTTGAGCCAAAATGGCTGCGGAGGAGGAGGAGAAAGAGGAGGAAGCACAGGAGGAGAGAGAGGAGGAGGAGAACGAGGAGGAAGAGGAGCAGGAGGAGGAGGAGGAGGATTTTTTGTTCCGCGGATCGCCCCTCTTCGGGTTGATGAAAAGCCAGGTGCGCAGATCACGGGTGAAACATCTGCTTCAGAAAAGCGGTCGCTACGTCCAGTGCCGTTACCTCCATGTGGAATGCAGGCCTCGCGTGCTGGACGCAACCTTCAGAAAGCCTGCAACCTCCACGAAGACCACGAGGAAGGCGCAGGCGACCACCAAGAGCAGCCCCTACCACAGCTCCTGGCAGTGCAGTCTTATCCGAGAGCTCGGCATTCAGCACAGAATGAGCGAATCGACGTAGAGGAAGAGCAGTCGGCGCATTGCGGGGCCGCAGGCCCATCGAATCGGAAGGGGGCCACGCCGTATGTTTCCACCGACACCCGATGCTCCGCCTCAGCCTTCGGCAACGCCAGCGCTGTGGCTGCAGCATCGCCGTGGCTCGCGGATTGGCTCGCGGATGAACTCGGCGAACTTTGAGGGTGTTGAGAGCGCGTCTGCAGCCAGAGCGGTGCCATGCCAGGGGCCCAACGGTGTCGAACGGCTCCGCATCGGACAGCTACTCAAGACCACTACACCCCGAAGCCACTCCCCCGTGAAGCTCGACCTTCTCCTCCTCCTCGGAGATATCGGTACCATCCTCCACGAGGTAGAAGATGGATTCCTCGGGCAGCGCACTCCAGACGCTATGCTTATGATGTTCCAACCTACTTTAGCCTTGACCACCAGAAAGAGTTTCGAGCACCAAGAAAGCACCGAAACTGGAGGGTTCTCACGTGCCGGGCCTGGGAGGCGATACTCGTTCGACACTGCTTCGATACTTGTTCTGGGTGCTCGAAATTACTTCTGGGAGGTGGTCCTTAAGTACAAGGAGGTTTTTCTTTTTTGAGAAAATAATCTAGGTTGCGAAAAAAATCTAGGTTGTCCCGTAGAGATTGCAGCCCCGAAACAAGGCAGACAACAAAACTAGGACTTAAAAAAAACAAGAAGCGGACCCGGGACGCGGCATGAAACAAAACAAGGAACACCCTGGAACAGCAGGAGGAAGATCTGGAAAAAATGTGTCGAGAGATCTGGGGATTGTCCAAAGGAAGACTTGACGCGGTTGCAAAGCGATAAATCTGGAGGAATGTTTCGGGAATAGTTGCGGAAATATCTGAGGGAGGAAGATCTGGCGGAAGATCTGGCGAAAGATCTGACGGAAAATCTAGCGGAAAATCTGGCGGAAGATCCCGCGGAAAATCTGGAGGATAAATCTGGCGGAGAATATGTCGAAAGATCTGGCGGAAGATCTCGCGGAAGATCTGGCGGAAAATCTGGCGGAAGATCCGGCGGAAAATCTGGCGAAAGATCTCGCAGAAGATTTAGAAAATCAATCTGGAGGAAGATATAGCGGAAGATCTGGCGGAAGATCTCGCGGAGGATCTGGAAAAAAAACTGGCGGAAGATCTTGCGGAAGATCTCGCGAAAGATCTGCCGGAAATTCTGGCGGAAGATCTGGCGGAAGATCTTGCGGAAGATCTGGCGGAAGATCTCGCGAAGATCTGGAGGATGAAACTGGCGGAAGCTCTGGCGGAAGATCTGGCGGAAGATGTGGAATCTAACTCTGGAGGAAAATCTGGCGGAAGATCTGCCGGAAGATCTCGCGGAAGATCTAACGAAAGATCTGGCGGAAAATCTCGCGTAAGATCTGGTGAAAGATTTGGCGGAATATCTGGAGGAGGATATGGTGGAAGATCTGGCGAAAGATCCCGCGGAAAATCTAGCGGAAGATCTGCCAGAAGATCTGGCAGAAGATCTTGAAAAATATCTGGCGGAACATCTGGAGGAAGCTCAGGCGGAAGATCTGGAGGATAGATCTGGCGGAGAATATAGCAGAAGATCTGTCGGGAGATCTGGAATGCAAATCTGGCGTAAGATCTGACGGAAGATCTGGCGAAAGATCAGACGGAAGATCTGGAGGAAGATCTGGCGAAAGATCTAGCGGAAAATCTGGGGACACTGGCGGAAGATCTGGCAGAAGATCTGGCGGCAGATCTCAAGGAAGATCTGGAGAAATATTTGGCGGAAGATCTGGAGAAAGACGAGGCGTAGCAGGATCTCCCGCGAGATCCTCCCACAAATCTTTTGCCAAATGTTCCGCAAAATCTTCCGCCAGATCCTCCGGTAGATCTTCCTCCCAATCTTCCGCCGTATCTTCCTCCAAATCTTCCGCCAAGTGTATCTTCCAAATTTTCCGCCTGATCTTCCACCAAATCTTGCGTCAGATCTTTCGCCAGATCTTCCTCCAGATCTTCCGCCAGATCTTTCCCCAGATCTTCCTCCCTCAGATTATCCGCCAGATCTTCCCCCAAATATTTCTCAAAATTTATCGCTTTGCAAACTCCGCCAGGGGGAGGAGGAGGAGGAGGAGGAGGAGGAGGAGGAGGAGGAGGAAGAGGAGGAGGAGGAGGAGGAGGGGGAGAAGGAGGCGAAGGGAGAGGAGGAGGAAAAGGTGGGGGAAGATAGCCGTGCCCATGTTTTAAACTAGGTGTTCGACTATCACTCGCGCGATGACGGCAGGGCATGAAACAACATGAGGAATTTTTTAAATCTGATTTTAGAGTAGGTCCGCGAGGCTTAAGCCGGGCATGCCCGTCTAGTTTTTTGAACTCCCTGTACGATGGGAGCAACACAATGCTAGGCACGACCACCTCCGCCTCCGCGGAAAGGAGAGTGACGCCTAGAACAAAATCCTCGCGCCGTGCATCGAGGCGAGGCCCACACTGAGCCCTGCGAAGCATTGCGGCGCCCGCCGTCGCCACGTCGATCCCCCGGGCGTCAGCGCGGAGGGCGACGTTCCGCCGCAGCTTCTCCAGCCAGGCGGGCTCCGCGATCCGCAGCAAAGCCGAAAGGGCCGGCGGGAGGGCCCGGAGCCGCTGCGCCCGCCATCTCCGCGTCGCCGATGAAGACCTCCAGAGCCGCCTCCGCCGCAGCCAGCTGTCCACGGACGCCGTTGAGATCGTCCGTCCACGCGCTTGGCCACGGCACGGTCGGCGGACCAGCGCGCCCACTGCCGCGAGGCACGGTGGGCCTCAGCAGAGCGCGCGGGGCGGAGAAAGGCCCCGCCCTCCCGGGCCATCGTCTCCGTGAGCCAAGAGCCCCCCTTCCCCCCGTCACTCACGCCCGCCGCGTTGCCCCGTGAATCTGGGGTCGCAGGGTACGCCGAAGGGCAATGTCCAAGAGGGGGGGGGCCCACGGAAATGGCCAGAGCCAGCACAGAGGCAAGAAGAGGAGGAGAAGGAGGAGGAGGAGGACAAGGAAGAGAAGGAGGAGGAGAAGGAGGAAGAGGAGGAAGAGGAGGAGGAGGAAGAGGAGAAGAGGGGGAAGGAGGAGGAGGAGGAAGAGGAGTGAAAGGAGGAGAAGGAGGAGGAGGAGGACGATGAGGAAGAGGAGACGAGGGGGGAGGAGGAGGAGGAGGAGGAGGAGGAGGAGGAGGAGGAGGACGAGGAAGAAGAGGAGAAGAGGAGGGAGGAGGAGGAGGAGGAGGAGGAGGAGGAGGAGGAGGTGGAGGAGGAGGGGGAGGGGGCAAGTTAGGTGCGCTCGCGTCAACATCTGACATCCTACCCCTCCCTCCCATCCCTTACCATGGCGCTGATTTTCTCTATCCGCGGACGCGTGTCGTAGCGGACCTGTGGCTCCGCGCGCGTGTGCGTAGTGGGTGGTGGTGCGCGTGCGTGCGTGCGTGTGTGCGTGGTTGTGGTTGTTGTGGTGGTGGTGTGTATGTGTGTGTGCGTGTGTGCGCGTGTGCTGTGGTGTGACGTGGTGTGGCGTCTTGGTGGTTTGGTGGTGGGCCAGGTGCGTACGTGCGTGATGGCGGTGGTGGTGGTGGTGGTGGCGGTGGTGTGTGTGTGTGTGTGTGTGTCTGTGTGTGTGCGTGTGTGTGTGTGTGTGCGTGTGTATGTGTGTGCGTGCGTGCGTGTGTGTCTGTGTGTGCGCGCGTGTGATGTGGTGTGACGCGGTGTAGCGTGGTGGTGGTGGGTGGGGTAGTGCGGTGGTGGTGGCGGTGCGCGGTGGTGGTGCGCGTGCGTGCGTGCGTGCGTTGGTGGGTGGAAGTGGCGGTGGGTGTGCGTGCGGCGGGGCGGGGCGTGGTGCGGCGCGGTGGTGGCGGGCGGATGGGCGCGCGAGAAAGAGGCCCGCGCTGGGGCGAGAACGCCATCCTGAACGACGGAGGCAAAACACCGATCCGAAAATGAGGCCCACGCTGCAGCGGGAGCACGATTCGGAACGATTCGGGAGCAGAAATGAGGCCGGCGCCTCAGCGAGAGCAGCATTTTGAAAAAAACGCAGGCGAAAACCCAACTCCTAGGAATCCTGTGTGTAGAAAAACAGTACGCGGGGGGGGGTCGAATATTCCCAGCACGCCATCAGGGGAAGAGGGAGAGTAGTATTCATATTGAGTAATTGTAGAAGGAGGAGGAGAAGGAGGAAGAGGAAGACGAAAAGGACGAGGAGGAGGAGGAGGAGGAGGAGGAGGAGAGGGCGGGAGGAGGAGGAGGAGGAGGAGGAGGAGGAGGAGGAGAAGGAGGAGGGGGGGGGGCGAAGGAGGGCCGCAGCGTCGTGACAACCTTGGGTGGGGATGTGGGAGGGGTCTGGGCCCGTTGGGGCCAACAGACGGTAACGCTCGTGTGGGCTGCGCAGACAATCATAGAATCAGAATGCGCCTGCGGCGGGATTTCTTTTGCTTTCCATCCCCTCTGGCTCGGCATGCGACAAGTCGCCTCGAGGCATCTGCAAAATCGCAGCGTGCCACATGTTCCGTATTTGCGGGGGATGCGTGCATTGAGTCTACAGAAGACGTGTAGAGACTGATGGCCTGTATGACCTTGCGCACTGGAAGCTGCGCTCTTGAACAATCCGTTACTGCAGTGCTGCCCTTCTGCGCTGAGGGAATCGAGGTAGGGAACTTACCCTGCGCATCGCACGCATTGGCTGCTTGGCCTCCTGTGGCATCCTATGGCTTGGCCTCCGATGGCTTCCCGATGGCTTACCGCCTCACTGGGACTGCGTGCCGCACGTTTTATGGCGGCTATGTGGCCCCCTGTGACTGCTTGACCCTGTATGGCTGCTTGGCCCTCCTATGGCCGCTTGGCCTCCTGCAACCAGTTGACCACATGGCTTCACACACACACACAGAGAAAGAAACACACACACACAGACACAGAGATATTTATATATATATATACACACACGTATATAAACGTCTATACATATAATGTATTAACTACATGCTATTATGTATATAGACATACGCACACTGCTCCGAGGATGGATCATTGGGGGCCCAAGCGCCGGGATGCTGCAGAAGAGGCGCGCCAGGCACGCTGTCGGGAGGAGCCGAGAGTGCCGCACGAGGAGCAGGAGGGACGTGGGCGCGAGGATCCGGGAGCACGGGGCGGCGTGGCCGGGGGGAGCCGGCGAGGGCGTGGCGGACAGAGACAGGGGGGCGCGTCGGCGGCAGGCGCGGCGGCTGCTGGCGAGAGGGCCGACCTCCCCCCCAAGCAAAAACGCTGTGGGTCACGCCTGGGATGGTCCGTCGCTGGGCCGAGGGGGAGGCCAGGAGTGCACAGGCGGCGGAGAGCTCGCGGGCGCGGGCGCGCCTCTGCCCCAGGCCGCTCAGCGCGCCGTCTGGAGGAGGCCTCACTGTGGAGGGAAAGAAAGACAGAGAGAGAGAAAGAGAGACAGAGAGAGACAGACAGAAACAGAGACAGAGACAGAGACAGAGACAGAGACAGAGAGAACAAAAAAAAAAACAGAATGAACAATGAAAGCAAAGAGAGACGCATAAAGGATGTGCCGCATAAGGAAATGTGACCACATGTTCCCACACCGACTGGGGCCGTAGCCTTCCTGTGTGGCACTAAACGTGCTAGGGGGTCCGAATTTGGCGAGATGATCGGTTGTTCCAACCCCCACCGGGGCCTCAGGTGCGTAGTCCGAGAGTGACCGAGAACGCGAACAGGACAACAGTGTGCCCAGAAACGAGAACGTGAACCGACAACGCGAACAGGGAACTAATAATACGAGAACAATAGAATGCAACCGCGGGCTGGCGTCTCAGAAGCCAACAAATCATGCCACTGAGCACCAGTCCCAATGCCTATGGCCTAGGACTGGTGTTCACCCCTTCCCCTTGAAGCGCTGTAGAGAAGCAAAAGCGATATCTCCAGGTCAGCCAGCCGACTTACGACTGCCACCTCCGCAGAACTGCCACCAGAGGCCTCCTTCAGATCTACACATCGCTCCTCTTGCTGAGTAGCTGAACAGCTGAAGGCGCAAGAGTCATGCAGACGCCGCCCTCCCCCACCCAGGGCCAGCCGGCCTCCGGGGGGGATCAAACTAAAGTCAGGCGACTCCTGCAGCGTTCGCTCCAGAAGTCGCCAGCTGCTGGGGGTAGAAATTGAAAGGTAAGCGGCGCTCCTCCTGGTGCTGCTCCTCTCCCATATCATCCTACTCTCCCTGCTCAAATCCCCCACCTCCAGCTCCCCCTCTTCATGCTCATCTCCAGGCTCATCCTACTCTCCCAGCTCATCCTACTCTCCCTGCTCCTCTCCCAGCACATCCTACTCTCCCTGCTCCTCTCCTAGTTCATCCTACTCTCCCTGCTCCTCTCCCCCACCTCCAGCTCCCCCTCCTCCCGCTCGTCCCCCCCCCTTTTCACCCTCCGCCCCATCCCACATCTCCCCCTCTTCCACTGGCACGAATAAAATGAGAGGGCCCAGGGACACAAATAAACAGACACAAATCCCAGGATCCCCCATATTTTTCCATAGTTTCTGGATCTTCGCCTTCCCCCAAACTTCGCATCTGTTCGGAATTCTCCTGGGAATCGACGACTATTTGTGTCTGTGTGTTTGTCCCTCCTGAGAATGAACACGGCCCGTAAGGCAGGTCCTGGACTCCGCGGCTATCCCTGAGACCAGCGTCTCGTTCTAAATCGCCACTCGGCGGCACCAGGGCCCCAGAAGGGCCCAAGGGAGCCAGGAAACAGACAGAGAGGGAGAGAGAGAGAGAGAGAGAGAGAGAGATATATATATATAGAGAGAGAGAGAGAGAAAACAAAAAAAAAAAAAATGTTCAAACCAAAAATCTGGACCCCTTCCCCACAGAGCCCCTTCTCGTCAGGGGGGCTCCCCCTCCCCCAAGACATCTGGCGAGATGCCCCTCCCCCCCGAACCTCTCGACCCATTGCCTGGAGCCGGCTTTTCTTTGCCCGAGTGAGTCGCTGATTGCCCCGAGGCCCCGAACCGGCCTCGAAAGACCCGGAACAGTAGAAGTCGGCGGCGAGCCCAGTGGAGGGAGGTGAGAGGGGGCGGGCCTTTTCAGAAGGCTCGGCTGTCCCCCAGCCTTCTGCAAGGTTGTCTCTAGGCCTTCCCCGAAGACGCCGGAAGCTTCTCGGAAGGCCGGAGGGCTGCTGCTGAGAAGCGCCGCCGCCTTCTGACAGGGCCCTCCCTCTCACTGCCCCCCCCCCCCTTTGGGACGCACACAAACATACTAGTACAATGTGTTCTCCTTGGAGGCGGGCGTCCGACCCGAACATATAGTAGAATTATATTGTAGTGTATCGTTTTCCGCGCGGTGTGGCCACAGAGCGCCCGCCACGACGCACATACTCTAAGATTTCTCAGTGCGCGCGTCGCCCCTGGGGGGGCGACGCACACACAGTCTTACTATTTTATGGTGACGCCGACACTTCGCTGGCCGCCGAAGCAGGCCCTCCTCCTGCCCTGGCCCCTGCCCCTCCCCGCCCCGCCCCCCCTGGCCTGTGGCGCCCGTGCGGGCACGGGGAGGGGAGCTGAAGAAGCCGCTGGCGGCCGAGGCGCCCGCAGAGGCCTGGCCACGGCAGGGAACAGGGGGGGAGGAGGAGGAGGAGGAGGAGGAGGAGGAGGAGGAGGAGGAGGAGGAGGAGGAGGAGGAGGAGGAGGAGACAGAGGAGACAGAGGAGACAGAGGAGACGAGGAGAGGAGACAGAGGAGACAGAGGAGACAGAGGAGACAGAGACAGAGGAGGACAGAGGAGACAGAGGAGACAGAGGAGGAGGAGGAGGAGGAGGAGGAGGAGGAGGAGGAGGAGGAGGAGGAGGAGGAGGAGGAGGAGGAGGGGGGCGAAGCGACGCGAGGCGAAGCGAGGCGGACGCCGGAGTCATGCGTGCTCCTCCGTGGAGCTCGCCCGTGCTCCATATGAAGTCGGGCATGTCCCTCTTAGGAGGAATAGTCAAGAATTGTCAAACAAAATCTGGGGACGACTGTTCCACAAAGTTTGACTATGTTTGATTCTGGAAGAAAAATGAAAATAATCAGAAATAGTGTTGAACATTATGACTATTTCCGCTTAAGAAAATCCGACTGTAGGAGGACATGTCCGACCTAAGCCCAACAGGGCATGGCGTGGAGGCCGCAGCCTCGGCAAAGAAGATCTTCTGCTGACACTTGTGACACGTATGCGAGGAGCGTGGGGGGGGGACGGGCAGAGGATCGAGTCGGTGGCGATGTCCGAGCCCTGCCCCGACCAACCATCGATTCTCCGGAATCGATGGGAGGCTCGGCGGCGAGCGAGGGGGGAAGTGAGAAGGAGCAGGCCTTCTCATAAGGTTCGGAAGTCCCCCAGCCTTCTGAGAAGTTGACTGAGCCTTCCCCGAAGACAGGAAAAACTTCTCAGAAGGCGTGAGGGCTTCTGAGAAGTCCCGCCGCCTTTTGAGAGGGCCTTCTCCTTCTCATTTCACCCCCCTTGCTCGCCGCCGAGAGACGGGAGCAGGGTTCGGATTTCGCCACGTGTTCAGCGAAATCCGAACCATACCCGCGCCGCCCATCGAGTTGCCCGAATCGTTGATCGGCAGGGTTCGGATTTCGCCGCCGATCGAGGATCCGGGCATCTCGTGCGTGACCTGCAGCCTTCGGGCCTCCCGAGGCGCCCTCGGTCGTCGCGGCTGGATCCGCCTCGAAGTCTGGGCCAAAACGCCCCCGAGTGCCCGTGGTCGATTTTGGAGGGGGCAGGGCCCAGACAGCCAGCAGCTCGGGAAAGTCGGGACGGTCGGTTTCTCTTCATTTGGAGCCCCCTTGGAGCCCCCTTTGGAGGCCAGTTTCGAGCCCAGGACTGCCAAAAACTACCTAGGATGAAGAGGCCCCCCCAGGGAGGGGGTCGAGAGGTCCTGGGGCCCACGGCACATGCCTCCTACAGTGGAGGCCAGTCCACAAGAAACCTTACACAAGAAACCCAACCCTGAAACCCCAGGACGTCCATGGAATTTTGGTGTGGGCACGTCACGCACTCCATCGCAAAACCATCGAAACCCAAGAAACCCAGGGCAACCTGGAGGCAAGCAGGGTGCTTCTTGGCATCCCATCAACTGCGCGAAGATCTTGGCGCGCCGATTGCCCCGATCAGCCGTGTGAGGTTCCACACTACGGACGGGAAGCCGCCGGAGAACAGAGCCCCCCAGAGTTTTCCAACGAAGCGCCGTGGGGACACCGCCCGACTCGGCTGGCAAAGCTGGACTTCAGGTACCGGGGGGTCGTGGACAAAAAACATATCCGTATCCACGGCCTCGCGGGCCACGCCTCTGGGCCGCGACCTCGCTTACGGGGCCACGAAACATGTGAGGAGTGTGCCGAAGTGGGGGCAGGTAGGCCATGCGGTCGTGTCCACCGAGACTGTAGATGGAGCTCCCCGTGGGGCACGCGAGGGGTGTGCCGAAGTGGGGGCGATTACGCCATGCGGTCGCGCCCGCTGAGGCTGCCAATGGAGCTCCCCACGGGGCCGCGAAACATGTGAGGAGTGTGCCGAAATGGGGGCAGGTAGGCCATGCGGTCGTGTCCACCGAGACTGTAGATGGAGCTCCCCGTGGACCCACGAGTCGTGTGAGGAGTGTGTCAAAGTGGGGGCAGGTAGGCCACGCGGTCGCGCCCATGGCAACCGTAGGGGGAATCCCACCAGCCCTTTAGGGCGTAGGTGGTCTAGAGTGTTTCCTCATCCAACCCCCTCATTCCCCTTCGGGGAGAGGTTTACCATTGTTCCTTATTAGTATACACCCTTTCCCCCAGGCGACTGGCGTCCAACCAGAAACCATGAGGACACCATGGCGACCCGCCCCCAACCATCCCTGTCAAACAACAATACAAATCGCACTCTGCCTCCACATTTGGAGCATGCGTGGCCAACCCGATGTGTCCCCCCACACCATCCCTGTCAAAAAACAATACAACATACACTTCGGGGCAAAGTCTTGAGTCATGTTCGTGAGGCCCGCGAGCACTTTGTATTGTTTGTGATAGGGACGGCGGGGGTGTCAGCATATTCCCTGCTGCGCGCAGGGCTACCATCCCTGACAAAAAAAAACAAAAAAAAACATACAGCATGCACCTCGCGGCTAAATCTGGATCATGCGCGGCCATCCCGCGATCACTGTCAAGTGGTTTTTGACAGGGGCCGCGGTGGTGGTGGCGCGTGGCCTGCTGTGCGCAGGCCAACCAGACATAATGATGGGCATTGGTTTTCGACAAGGATGGTGGGGGCCGACATACTTGCCGATGTGTGCTGTCACCTGGGCAGGCGCACCTGACGCACTCTGCACGTGCCCCGAACGTGGCGCACCTGGCGCCGCTGGAGTGTGCGGCACACCTGGCGCACTCGGAGCACGTGGCGCATCTGGCGCACCAGACGTGCCTGGCACGCTCGGGCCCAAGGGGTGCCTGGCGCGCGTGGCGCCCCTGGCACGCGTGGCGCACCTCGCCCAAGCGTCGCGCACCTGGGGTCGGCTTTGGTTCCCAGTAGCTGCCCATCCAAAGACGACCGCTGAACATGCTCAGGCTCGGGTGTTACTTATGTGTTGGGAGGGCGGGTGGGAGTGAGCTAGACGGCTTGCCGGCGGGTGGGTAGCTTGACCCCTCCCCCTACCCCCTACCCTGGACATGGACGGGGCCGGTCGCAGGCGGTCAGAGCGTCCAAGATGGCCCAAGACGGCTCCAAGAGGGCCTCTGAGAGCCCAAGGTGACCTCCAGGATCGCTCAAGACAGCCTGAGATGCCTCAAGATGGCTTCCAAGTTGCTCCAAGAAGACCCGAGAAGGTTCCAAGACGGTTCCGAGACATCCCAGGAGGCCTCCAATTGGCCAAATCCTTCCAAAAGCTAAGGCCTCAAGATGGCTCCAAGATGGTCCAAGAGGGCCCCAATAGGGGCCCAAGAGAGTCTCAAGACGGCCCCAAGAGCGCCCAAGAGCGCTACAAGAGCGCCCCAAGAGGCTATTTTAGATCGATGTCCTCCAAGATGGCCTCAAGAAGCGCCCAGGAGGTTCCAAGAGGCTCCAAGATGCCCCCAAGATGGCCCCAAGAGGCCCCCAAGAGGCCCCCCAGAGGCCCCAAGAGGCCCCCCTGAGGCAACCAAGACGCCCACGAGCACCCCAGGACCGCCAAGAGACCCCCAAGACGTCCGAATAGGCCACCAAAAAGCGCCCAAGAGATATCCCAAGAGGCTCCGAGAGGCATCCACGAGACCTCTGGCCCTTTTGCTTGCCCTCCTCCTTCTGCTCCTCCTTCCTCCTCCTACTCCTTCTCTTCCTCCTCCTCCACCTCCACCTCCACCTCCACCTCCTCCTCCTCCTCCTCCTCCTCCTCCTCCTCCTCCTCCTCCTCCTCCTCCTCCTCCTCCTCTTCATATTCATCTTCCTTCTCCCCACTCCCTCATCCATCCATCCAGCCTCCTCCTTCTCCTCCTCCCTCCTTCGCACGGTTCGGCCGTCCCCCTCTTTGCTCCTGCACTTCCCTGATCACCTCAACTCGCCTGGACATCATTTCTGGATGGGCTGGTGGAGATACACGAAGCGTCCGAAGCGTCTAGAACTCCCTGCGAGGCACGAAGAATGTCAGGGGTGTGCCGCATTGGGGGCGGGTGAGCCATGCGGTCGCGGCCATTGTAGCTGCAGGTGGAGCTCCCTATGGGGCCACGAAACGTGTGATGTGGTGCCGAATAGGGGGCGGGTGCGCCATGCGGCCGCGTCCACTGAACTGAGACCGTAGGTGGAGCTCCCCATGGGGCCACGAGGCGGGTGGGGGGTGTGCCGAATCGGAACATCGGAGGGCAGAGGAAGGATGAGGAGGAAGGGGAGGGGAATGAGGAGACGAGTGCGCTGCTGCCTTAAACGAGGACCCAACTCGCACAGGATGGTGGGGAAACAGATTCTGGTTAACTGCTGAATAAAATCACTACCGCTACCAAGCATCCAAAGCAAGACGACGGCAGCGGTAGCAACGGCGACGACGGCAGCGGCGTCGACGACGAAAAAGAAGACAAAGCGAAAAGAAGGACTTGGACGAGGACGAAGAAACAGAGTGAGAGGACGACAACGAAGATGAGGCAGACGACGTCGCCGACTGTCACAAATCGAGTTCACAACAAATCAGAGAGGTACATCGGAGTATCGTCCTCCTCGTCATCCCGCCCCCTATTCCCAGTCTAGTCCAGAACGGCAGGGGGGCGATGCTTTCCCGCTTCCTGCCGCAGGGCTGGATGCACTCGTCCTGTGAGCCTCCCCTCGAGGTCTCAGAAGGTCCGAAGGTCTCCAGAGGCCCCCATACAAGTCTCCAAAAGTCCCCCGGGCGCCAGCCCCAGCGGCGCGGCTGTCGGGCGCGGGCCCAGACTCCCCGCCGACGCCGCCAGAGCAGGAGGAGAAGGAGGAGGTGCAGGAGGGAGAGCAAGAGAAGCAGGACGCAGCAGATAGGGAAACCGAAAGGTGCCGATATCGCCACTCCTGGGACCTCTCCCGGAAGCGTTCTGACCAGGATTTCGAGGCGAATCAAGCGGTGGCGACGAGGGCCCCCCCAAGGAGGCCCAAGAGGGGGAAAACGGCGGAAAGGTAGCAGTATGGGTACATTCTCTTCCTCGGAGCAGGAGGGAAGTAAGAGGAGGAGGAGGAGGAGCAGCAGGAGGAAGAGCAGGAGAAGAGCAGGAGGAGGAGGAGAAGGATCAGGAGGAGGAGGAGCAGGAGGAGGAGGAGGCTAGGGCTAATCTGCTTCCCAACATCCCACGTGGTTGGCGCGCATGGGCCTTGCTCGGCCTCCAGGCACCGGTCCCGAGCGGCGCGCTGACACTCTGCATCACGGTGCCGCGGCTGCCGGGCACCGTCTGCATCACCATCTGCCGAGGCGTTTGTTTGTTGCTTGTTTTTGTTCTTCATGTCCTTCCCCTAAATAAAATCAAACAATCAAGCAATCCTTGCGGCCATGCCTGGTCGCGCTGTCGTCGGAATAAAACGTGTTCATAAGAGTGGACTGCGCCGAAAAGGCGATGGTTGCAGAACTGGAAGGGCACAGCAGGTCGTAGAACTGCCGAGGCGCGGGTGCCAAGCGGGGAGTAAATGAGGGAGGCTGGTGCGAGGGACCCGAACCTCCTCGCGGTGCGAAAGAATCACGACAGGAGGTTTTCTTCTATGTTCGGCCTCCTGCCCTGGCCTCGGGGCCATCATGGAACGAGTCGGGGGGGAAAACGGGCCCTGGGAAATGGGTCCAGACCTCTGGGGCTCGACGCTGAGGAAAAATCGTTTCGGTTCCCTCGGGGGCATATGAACCCGGGTCAATCCAGACCCCGGTCAGTCGGGCCTTGCAAGATCCTGCAAGTTCCTGCAGGACCCCGCAGGATCCTGCACCCAAACCCGGGTCAATGCACCACTGCAGGATGCTGCAAGATCCGGCGTTCTGATTGACCCCCGTTTGCATCGACCCCCGCCCCTGAAGCCCCGACTCCCTTGGCCCGTCTCGGCTCCGGCCCGCAATGACCTCGGCCCGTTGAGGCTCGCCGGCGCGCTGCGGCTCGGGGGCCGGAGCCGAAGCGGGCCGGAGCCGAAAGGGGCCGAGGCCGAAACGGGCCGCAAGCCGAAGAGGACCGAAGGAGCCGAAGCGGGCCGCAAGCCGAAACGGGCCGAAGCCGAAGCGGCCTTTTCTGGAGGGGGGTGAGAGAGCGAGGGGGGCGGATGGATTAATGAGTGGGGATGGATGGATGGAACGCTGGGGGGGCGATGGGTCGCCGCGCCTTCGCCTGAATATCGCATCGAAGGGCGATGCTCTTCCTATATGTATTGACCCCTGCGTGGCATTCGAGAGCGGACGAGGGGCTGAACACTACTATACCGCAGCCAAGCCCGCCAGTGTGGGGAACTCATGGCCTCTCGCACTGGTGGACCTTCGGCAGGGATGCATAAGCATGGTCCCGCCGCTTTATTCCTCGGAAGCCCACGCCTCCACCGACCACCTTATGGGGCACGGGGAGGAGGGCGACGCAAAAGCCTGTAAGCATATTCTAACACACGTCTCGCTTTGCTACTACCTGTCGCCGCCATACGCTCAAGATTCGCCAATATGCTAGGATCGCCCGAAGCATGCTGCGAAACAATCGCTCTAGCTAGTTGGGAGGACGCGGAGGAGGAGAGGCTCGGAGGCACGGGAGAGGGAACTGGTGCACACTGAATCGGGCGGCATCTGGGACCCCTGTTTCCCCTCGGATCTCCGCTGGGCTGGGCGCTGGTACCCCCCCGCCTCGGGGGAATGTCGCCTGGCCGCCTTCCCCTATTTCAAGAGCCCCTTGCCTGGCTGCCTCGGTCGAGGCCCCCTGCACTATGCACGCTGCTGCGCTCGCACCAGTACTGCTCTGGCTCGCGCCTCGATGTTCGCGCGGAGCTGCCTCTCCACCACTCGCGCCAGCTCTGACTTCGGCACCCGGCCCGTCATCTTCTCCGCACCGCTCTTCTGCATGCCACTAATGAACGCCATCCAAGCCCCCTCGATCGTGAGCATCTCCTCCATCGCCCCTGGACCGTATTGGCTGAAGTCCGCCCACGTGTCGAAATTGACTGTGACCTTGGTCTTCTGCTGCCCCGCGGGCGCGCCCTCCTTCGCGCGCGCGCCCTGCAGCCTGCGCGCCTTGAACGTATCCCCCATGATCTTCTGGCCCTTCTCGCTATTCGCCATCTGCAGCCACTTGCTCAGGTGGCCCTCGCAAGGCATTCCTTTTACTTCCTCTTTCATCACCTCCATCATCGCACCGGTATATGATGACGCGGCGGGCCCAGTCCGCGCCCCCTGCCGCGGCCCCTCAGCGTCTTCGCGCAGCCCGATGCCGCCTCCGCCCCCGCCTCGATCCACTGGGCCGTGCTCGGGCGCAGCCAGAAGTCGAAAATTGCCGCTGCCAGCTCGCGGCCTTGGGCGCCTGGCGATAGCGTTAGGCGCTGCAGGCTGGCGATATTCTCCATCAGCACGCCCTCGAGCTTCTAGTCGTCTCCTTCTCCTCGAAGTCCCTTGCCCTGCTTGTGCTCTCGCTGACCGCCTGGAACGGCCGTCGCGCCCCTCTTGGGAGCCCTCCGCGACGCTCTCTGCGCCTCCGCCGCACATGGATACGCGCATGGCCTCGGGGCCGGCGCGTCGAATTACAGCGCGGGTCTGAAAGCCGTCGAGATCTCGACCAGCATGGCTACAGAGCGAGCAATTAGGTCGTCGAGGATAATCAGCTCGTGTTCCCAGCGCCCGCAGTTTGAATAGCATGTCTTGCGCGTTCCACCTGCTGCTGCCATAACATGATATACTGCCACTTGCCTGCCAACAAAAACTGTGCGACACCATGGACATTGATTAGTATGCGCAAGTCATCCCAATACTGATCTGCATATACGCGCCTGTTGCTAATGCGCTGAGAGTGCCTGACGCGCTGCGCATGCTTTGCCGCGTTCGACCTCCGCCCCTCCCTTTATCGCCCCCACGTTGCAGAAGCATGTTTCCATATTGTCTGTCATCGCCTCCTCCGTCTCGATGAGCCCCTCCTTCCTCGTTCTCCTCAGCCGATGAGAAGTCGGAACGAACGATGAGGACGTCCGCGGAGCACCCACGCTGATCTTCTTCGGCACATTCAACAAACAGCAGCCAATCTCTGCCATCGTCTGGATACGACTCGCAGAGATCTCCACGAAGAGTTGCCAGCAATCTCAAATCACCCTGGACCTGCAAAGCCCACGGCGCACTGCCATGAAACACTCTGTCGCAATGATCAAGTCGCGCGATCCCCTCCGCCTCCTCCACGAGCGCATTGCCATAAATCGCTGCAAGAACCTGTTTCGCCTTTTCAATCGACCTCCTCCAGATTTGGTAGCGTTTCAACCTTCTGATGCAAAGCGATGTCTCCGTGACGATTATTTTCCAAAAAATCTCACGCGCGCTCATCGATGTTGTTTTGCCCCCCGGCGCGACCCAGCTACGTCGCCCCCCAGCCAGACCCTGTTGAAGCTTCACCATGGGCCGCGCCGCTCTCAAAACAAAAAAACAATTGCAGCTAGCCAAGACGGGCCGGCCCCCCGGACCAAACTCTGAAACGTCAACCACTTTGTCTTTTTCAACTCCTTCGCCCGCCAAAAATCCCCACCTCCCCTCCGTGCTCGACGCGTAGCTTCACGGCGCCTGCGGATCCCATCCGCGGTGGACCCGTCCACGGCTAGGCGGGGGCCCAGCATTCCCACGCGCATCTGGACCCCCCCCCCTGACCCCGCGCGCTCCTGCCGCGCCCCCCACGTCGCCGCCTGCGCCCCCACTTCGCGCGAGCTCGCGAGATGATGGGTTGTTTCCAGCATTCAAATGATAACCTCCTCCTTCCATTTCTCTTTCCAGTGCCTCCGTCGCGCAGCTGATCTTTTGAACTCCTTCTCGTGCAACTGGAGTGCCCAGCCATGCATGAGCGCGCGCCACGTCGCTCATGACTGTTGCCCTGCCTCACTGTCGGGCCCCATCGTTCGCAGCAAGCCGCAGGTGCTGCTCTGCCCTGCAAGGTGCTGGTTCCACTTCTCGAAGGGGGGGGGTAGCAGTCAAATTGAAAACTTCTCTCCGGGCTCTGCGCCCTCGCGACATGCCATGGTTTCCCCCGCGCAATGCACCCTAAACCGTCGGCGCAGTCAATGTGCGCAGTGGCATGGCTATGGCCCATTCATAACATGCGCCACCTGCTGCTCATAGTCGCGATCAAGGCGCCCACGCAGAATTTCATCGGCAGCCCACCGCGCGCCCAACATGATCGAGTTATAGCTGGCGCACGTCTGCGAACACCGCCGTGGAAACCCATCGACCAGGCGCCTTTAGCAGCGCATGACTCGTCGCCCTCGTCGCCCCAAAGACGCCTTTCTCGCCGCTGCCACTATCCACGCTGAATGGCGATGTCCCCGAGCAGTCGATTGGCGCCGCCTCGCACGCCCTGATATTGATCAGGTATCCTGAATAGTTTCGCCGGAACAGGTCCGCCGTGCAACCCAACTCCTTCGCGCCCAGCCCAGCTCGGAAATGCACTCTAGAAATCCATGCATCTGGAAGCGCGGCCTCTGCGCGCCTCCGCGCGGGATAGGCGCCCGGCGAACCCCCCTGGCGACCACCCCAATTTGATATGTAAAATCCACCTTTTGTTAGTTTGCGGTTGCTCTTCATCGCCATCGATTTCCGCTTGTCCTTGCAGTCGCGCTGCCCCGCGATCGCTCGCTCCATTCGGGCGCGCGACACTCCGCGGGCTTCCCCATCACCGGCGCCGCCTCGCCCAGTAATCCCCAGGATGGGCATGGTCGTCTTTCGCGCGCCCTCCGAAAAAGTCTCACTAGCGCTTCCCGATTTTCCCGCGCATCCCCCAGCAGCTCCGCATCCAGACACATCGGGTCGCCCTCGCCATCTGCGACCACTCCCAAGCAGCAGTCTGTCTTCACCTGCTCGCAGTTGACCCCCTCGGCCTTGAAACCTCCGCACGCCCCTCCTTCCTTCAACTCGCTTCCCCATTCCTGCGCCCCCATAATAGTCCGAGGCGATTAATGATAGCGTTTGCGAGGTCCTCTTCCAGCACCGCCGCGCGGGCAGCGCAGGGCGCGCAGTTCCGCCGAGTTGCGCTGATCTGCAGCGTGGCACATAGCCTCCACCAGCTCTGCCTTGCGTCGCTCATCTCGAATCCTTCTTTCACTCTTGAGTGTCGCTTTGGTATCCTTCAGCTTCTCCTTGATATCCTCCAGCTCCTCGTCGCAGCTGTGGCCCATGGTCTGTCGAAGTTCTCGCCTTGTGTCCAGCGACTGCCTGCGATACTGAGTAGCCATGCCCAACCATTATGGATCAACTCTTGCTCCCTGTGGAAAA